GAAAGTCGGACTGTAATTGTAGATGAGATTGTCAAGGACTTGCCCAACAGGTGGTCTGTTTAATGACTTCCTTGCCTCGCTGCATCACAAATTCACGATTGGCATAAGTTTAGGGTCCGATACCATTCCAGTTGAATAAACTTGGGGGAGTTTTAAAGTTCTAGATGCATAATAAACAAATAATGTGGTTATCCGAAGATTCTGAACCTTAAATTTTCCATTTTTTTTTCTACTCATGCCCTCCCGAATAGAGTGCCACTTGACATTCCAGACAACGTTCCGAAATGCAACGGTTCACTTAGAACTAAAAGACAGATACAGAAGGATAAAAGCATAAACCCTAACCTGACCAAGAAGTTTGCGACGTGCTGGGTCACTTGAATAGCATCCTCTGAGTGCGGAATCATTGGTAATCCCCATTCAAAAGCATTTTTCTGCAACTCAATTAGTTAGTCTTCTAAAACTTGAAACAGATCCGTTGGAATAATCTATTAAGTCCAGATATCCTCAAAAGTATTTAATATTTTAGATGCAAACTTTAGTCTTTTGATTTTCATAAACAGCAATAATTATTGAAAATCTTCTTTTATGCATTGTTGATCACACCAATCAATCAATTTCTGCTTTGGTCTCAAAGACTACAAATATAGCAATATTGCAAATGTCTCAAGTGGAAATAGTTAATGTTTTTGTGCAATCTTTCATGCAAAGATGGTAAGAAAAGCAAAATTTGATAATTCTACAATAATAGCTTCTCCATCTCAAGGTTGTGAATGCATCTTAGTAGAGATCCTTGCAGACACCTATTCAAATAAAAGGCGCCTCGAGATGATTCCATATTTAAACGCTGTTATTGTGCTGTTGCTTATATTGCTAAATTTAGAGTAGTAATAAAGATGACGAAAAAAATATTATGGTAATACCTCTGGATGCCATTGGAAGGCGGTCACAGGATAGTTGTATGCGTGTGCTGTGGACACATAGACCTGGTAATAGTGTTACTGCAACAGTTAGAATCTTAAGGGGAATAAAATAAATCCAGAGAGATTGCGAGAGAGTGAAATGTACATAACCAAACAAGATAATTACATTCGGTACCTTATTATCTTCATCAGTACAAGTTGTCAAGATCTTAAAAAAACTTGACAGATTCTCGTTCTCGATAAGCCTCTCTGGTGAAATACCATACTGTTGCATTGAATCATTAAAAACTTGGTTAGGAAACCAATACCATGCTTGGTAAGCATAAGAATAACCATATGGATAAGAGTAGCAGAAAAACCAAAATGCATTAGTACAAGAAGCATAAATCAAACAGTAAACAGAAAGAATGAAACTCATAATACAAGATATATTCTCAAAACCGACATTTGTCTCACCAATCTTGTTAATGATTGGACAAACTCAGAATCGTAATGAAACACTATTGAAACTTTCTCAACCAAAGCTCATGATATATGTTTCGAAGTGGGTTGCCTTGGGAAAGTAAACAGACCGAGCAAGTATAAGATTTGACCAAGTAAATGGTTTTGGATTTGATTATTCAGGATCATTACATGCGTGATTATAAGCATAAATGCTATCTTTGATAACTACGTCTAACTTCAATGGATGAGCCTTTAGATTAGAACTCACTTTATGGTTTTGCATTACAAGACAATCTGTACTCAACTTCCTAAGCAAGTCTGGAGGAAATCTGCAAAAAAAATTAAATTAGTGGCTGAAGAAATTAAATCACCCTGGATTTACAGTAACGTGAAAAAACTTTCATACTAACTCATAGAACATCAACCATCCTCCGCTTAATTATTAGAACAGTGGTAAAAAAAGATCAGACAAAGATGACGGATACAAATACATGTCTAGCATGCTCTATTGACCTCTACTCTGCTTAATCCTATTGATTAGGGTGAAGTACATAAATTTCTCGCGTTTCAATCCCATTTAAGGCAAAAATCTTTGATAAGCATGCTTTTGCAGGGAAGCTACCTCAAATGATGGTTGAACTTTTCATATAAGAATCAAACAAAAAATTAAAGAAGACAGATTAGAAGGCCCACCATAAGTTTAAGGTAACTTCTAGAGGTGAACAAACAATTAACACACTTCTGTTATAGCCATATATCAATAGGGTTCCATGAATTCACATACTCAGTGTCCTCACAGTTTATTTTGACAAAGGATCTAAGATCAGTCATAAATGCAAAACATGTTTGAGGAAAAAATATTCAAAATAAAATTCTTTGGCATAACAATAGGACAATGACATCTAAACTGAGTCAGGAAAACCTCATTCCAAGATTTATACCTTTGAAATACGGTTCCTTCAATAATGGTGTTCTCGGTAAATTGTAAAGTTGACGCCACATCTACTGCACTGAATGACTCAAGAATTTTCTTGTTCTAGAAGAAAGAAAGAGAGTTGTGTAAATCTTAAAATCGAGACAAATATATTAAGAGGAGTTGATGAAGCATCAATAAGGATAAAAAATTCAAGTTAAAAGCAGAGGATCACTAACTGACATTACTAAGGTGATTCAGATTGAAAGGACTACTGTGACAATTCTAATAAAAGAAACTGAACTATTATTCCATAATTTCAATATTGAATGTGTTGTAAAGTTATCCGCAAGCTCATTAAATGGTATTTTTCTAGTAGTCTCAAGTTGAATGCCAACTAAAGAAACCAAGAAAGGCCATTCGCAAAAGAAGGACCATGACACATGGCCAAATAGTTTAGAATTGCATAACCAGACATCCTGGTTTTATCTCTTTTAGCAATTGATAATTTAAAGCACCACTGGAACTTACAAAATTGACTGCTTTGATGATTTAAAGTGGCTAATTACACATTTATGCATTAAAAAAGGTGAAAGACGTGCAGTTTGAATGACAAGACTGAATTCTTAAGGAAAAACAGTGAATTTTGAGAAGGATAGTTTACCTTGCTGATGATCATTGTTAGAAGTTCAAAACCTAAGCAGATGGCGTATAATGGGAAATGATCTCCAGCGTCATTCTTCTCTATAATTTTCTGTAGAAAACAGATACGAGCATAGCTAATAAGTAATAAACATGGAATGTAATATTGAAGAATTTTGTCAGAAAAGCACTGAAACTATCCTAAGAGATTACAATTTATGTGAATTCTTTATGACGCAGGAGAGCCTTGAAGCATTTGATGTTAGCCAGCCATGACACAGTGACATGGTTGCAATGCAGAAACTCGAACTCTGACCTCTAAAAACCCTATGTAGCTGTTATGTCGACCACTCTAGTTAACCAGTATCTATCAAAATTTTCTTTTGCCTAGTGCTTGCTGGAGTACGGAGGATGATCCTTCATGCTAATGATCATGGGGAATGAGATGATATTGGACTTGGTATGATTTCAATTTCAACCTCTAAAATCCTATTAAGAATTATGATACTTATGCTGCCAAGCCTCGCCCATACAAAACCGATCTAGCTACAATTTAGATCAAATCCATTTTGCAGTCGGAATAATTTTCATGATACCTATACAATCTTCTGTTTGTTTAGCAGAAAACTGGCCCCAGAATATATGGAAGAATAGATATAATTGTTCTGCCTGGTAAGCCAGGACTATAATGCTAGTGTACATCATGCACTGGTTATAATATCAAGCACTAAATTACCTGAAATATTCTCTCAACAACATCATAGTACAACCCACGTTTAGCCCATCCTCCGGTGAAAAGCACGCCATTAACGAGATCGAGCTTCTGCAATGCAGCATTTATAGTGAGCAACATAACAGAATCACTGGGAGAGGACAGTATAGTTTACCTCATAGCGCTTACGCCTCATGGTAAACAAACGGTTGCAATACTAATGTACGTACACACGCACATATCGAACAAAATTTTTATAAATGCGCAGCCTTTTACTGGGAAAGAGGGGAAAAACAATGAATAATCACAGACCAACTTCAACTTTTGATTGTTTGCCCAAAAGACAAACGAAAGCAGAAAGCTTTCGATTAGAAAGGCGAATACAAATACTGGGTCGTTTCTATAACTGGTTTCTCCAGCTAACAAAAGAACCTATACAAAAGCACTTCTCGAAAAAGCAGTTTTAACTGAACGCATAACGTGCATCTTTGAAAAGCAGTATTAACGTAAGAACACAGAAGCAACTTCTCCATAAAGCTCAATTTCTTCTCGACCAATAACATAACAGATAAAATCAAATTTTCAAATTTAAACTTCTATCGTGGTCACCTGGAAAAGAATATCACGCGGCTCGTTATAGATGAGAGGAATAACACGAGCCCCAGCCGATTCGACGAACTTGACATATGAAGCTGCGATATACGACGCCGTGGAGGCGTTGCTGAGCCGGCCGGAGGCGCCGTCTCCGGGGTGGCTCAGGATGCCGATCACGGGCCGGTAATTGAGCTTGGGGTCGGGCGCCGCACATTTGGTCGAGGACGAGTCGGATGTTCCGAGTTGACTTGGTAAGACAATCGTAGACTGGGCTTTGGCCAAGCTCAGCTCCTTGGACAGGGAAATTAGGAAAGGAATCCAGAGGTAGCTCCACATCTCTGCGGGTGTCGTCTTTGGGGACGCTGCGGCGGACTGAGCGTCGGAGGATGAGGAGGCGGAATCGGAGGGGTCGGGTGTTGGGGTGGACGTGGAATTAGTAAGGAAGTTGGAGGGCATGTTGGGAAAGAGGAAATGGGGACCGACGAGTTGGATTTGGCATGGAGGAAGAGGAGGAGGGGAGGAATGGTGTGCCTAGGACGCGTTTGTTGAAATGCGTGTGTTGTTTGTTCCGTGCAGCTGAGCTCACGGTGTTTTCGTACGGCGGGCAATTTGGAAAAGAGGAAGAGGAGGACGGTGGTGATATGACTATTGAGTGTTGAGAGGTGATGGTCACGTGGAAAGAAGCCAACAAAAACGTTGAGTCAGAAAATAGTCAGATTTATTAATTATGTGTCAGATAGGAGACAGATTCCACAAATTTGCAATGTGATTGAAAACATGGTTTATTAATTGGAGGCAGATCGCCTGAGGTCTTGGATGTCATTTTCATCATTTTTTATTTGTACGATTACGGTTAAATCACGTTAATATTTTATATTTTTATTATTTTTTATTTTATTATCTTTATAAAAAAATTAATATAAAATGTTGACTTGGCTTAACCGTGACTGCATAAAATAAGAGAGGATAGGAAGGGCAACCAAACAAATGACAGACAATCCGCCTCCTTATTAATTATGTGATTGGATGACGATATTTTTTGAGAATTTTTTTTACTTGTTTTAAACTTGTTACATCTTTTAGTTGTTAATTTCGTTCAATTTATTTAATTTGATGATCACAAATAAAAAATATGTGAGAAATAAAAAAGAATGTGTACAAATCACTTCTTTATTTTATTTTAAAGTTAAAATTAATATAAATTATATAGAGAATATCAACTCGAGTACATAAGAATAATGCCTTCATTTTAGTTAATATATATGGTTAAACAGGCACCTTTAACAAGAGGGATTCCATTTTTGTAAAAAAATGGGGACACCTTCTTAACCGTTGGATTGACTTTAATGAAATTGTGTGATTGAGATTAAATCACATGTCACACAATTTAATTAAAGTCAAATTCAACGTTCAAGAGGGTGTCCCTAATTTTTTAGAAAAATAAGGATCCCTCTTGTTAAAGGATTTCTATGGTTAAAATAAACTCACGTTTGCAGTGAACGCGGCATACTTAATCTTTCTCTAAAAACATATCACTTTTTATCAAAATATGAGCGTGCACTAGATCATTCCCTAATCATTATTTTTGTTTAGGAGTGTGAACAATTCAGTTCGATTTGTTTCCTCCTAACTTGAAAACTACATGTTACATATGCTCAGTCCGGTTTCGGTTTTGTTCAAAGTTTCCGCGTAAGCAAATTAAGATAAAAGTATTTACAACAATAAATCCATCAAGCACATACCTCTATTTGAACTTTAAACTTGGAAACAAAGGAAGTCGTTATGTGCGACATTTTCCCATAAGCCCATAATAAGCTCAATGAGAGGCCAACTTCAATAGAACCCCCTAATTCCATTACGCATCTTACACACTAATTCGTTAGAAGCTCTAGTGCTCGTGAGAGATTGATTGGAGAAATCTGGCAGGTGCTACATGTGCATGAGGCTCAAGTAAGTTTTGTCAATAGTAGAAAAAAATAAATTTGTTTAATAATTTAATCTCCACCCGTACCAAACCGTTCAACATTACTTTAGATTTTTATTTTATTTTTAATAAGTTTTGTCAAAATCAAACCAATATGAATCCCAATTGCATTCTAATTGGTTTTATTATAATTTTGAGGTGAAACCGTTCCAATCTGAATCGCGCCAACCCCTAATAAGATTGCTAGTTTAATATAATGAACTTAAACGTGGAAAATAATATAACTATACGCAATTATAAATTCAAAGAATATAACATAAATATTGTAAAACTAACTATTGCGAGGGAGAATAGAGTAAAATACTATTTACAACAATTAGGCAATTATAAATTCATTATTTTCTTTATTGATGAGAACACCTAATGTAGTATGTCTTTTGGCAACCGGCCAAAAATAAACAACAAATATCCTTGCATATTAAAAAAACAGGAATCGCATCATTTTAATCACAGCACGAGGTATAATTTATGTAAAGTGTAACGTCACTGCATCAGTGTATTAAATATATTCAAGATTTTCCATACTGCAATTTTATAAGTTCACTCCGACAAAAAAAAAATGCAAAATTTCAGAGTATTACAAGCTTTTTAGAGGGTATAGTCAAGGCGTGTCGTTTTTGTCAAAATATGTACACAAAATAACTAGTTCGCAAAGTGTAAGATATATCTGTTTCGTAGCTGCCGATTATAAAATATAAACCACGTGAAAGCAGTTTATTAATAAAATTGCCCAAATAACTTTTATGTTTAGGGTTTATGAACTGCCTAAGTTTGACCAGCTAACACACACTCAATATTTAGCTTATAAATTGAACCACGGACTCTAATTACTCACAACTCATAAGTGGCTATTAAGCTTTGGTTTATTGAGCAGATTAAGCTGTTAAACATACACAAATTTCTTCTTTTTGGTCATATCATGGCTCTAGTTAATAGCTTCATGCCAAAAACCATGCTCCAAATGCCCCTCGATTCCAAGCCCTACAGCCTGCTGATTAATAAGAGTGTGATAATGTGAGCTAAACTTCCTCTCCTATATATACTCATTCTCATTTTTCAATCTTTAATTATGTACATATTAATGTTGCATTAAGTTAATTTTAATTGTTTATTAACAGTATTAATTCTTTGGTTGATCAGAAGATGTGCTGCAGCGTCTAGACGACAGATCAGTAGAGGGAAACCTCCGCAAATCAACCGGGTAAGCAGAAGAAGTAACAGGAGCTTGAGAAGTGATCAGGTCAGCCTCAGCAACAGTGTGAGTGGAGAAGATGGGAAAACAAATGGAGGAAATGTTGTTGCTGATGAAGTTAACAATACAACCAACACTGCTGATGCCACTGATTAATTAATAATGCAGGACCATTAGTTTGTTAATTAATCCAGCTACGTCGATTAATCCCTGTAGTTGTCATATGGTGGCTCGTTGTCTAGCAAACCATGGCTGAATGTGATTCGTTAGCAGCTTAATTATATATGGACTTGATCATAATTTCTTCTTGAACAAATAATTATCATTTTAATTCGTTAACCGAAAAAACTTTGCTTCTTCTTATAACATATATGATAGAATATGATTTAATTACACGATCTTATACCATGTCAAACCATGTTAACTGACGAGGCCAAAGTATGTATGGTTAGGGAATATTTGAGGGGACTAGAGAAGGAGATAATGGAAAAATAAGGAAAAAGACATTTGCACGTTTGGTTTCGAAATAACAAATTAAATTGTTTTAGTAAAAGAAAAATAATTAGATTTTAACAAATTACGTTTTTATAAAATTAATTTTAACATTATGTTTTAATTCTCTCTCCTACACATATATCAATTAAAAAACAAAATTTAAGGCTCCTGACAGTCACACTAACACATGGCACCCTTGTTCATAAACGTTTCTAACTGAGGCAGACAAAATTCAAATAAAATATCTTGAGTGCGTAGAAGATAAATGCTCATAAGTTCATAACCATCAATTAATTTAGGGCAAAACAAGATGCTATCCATTCTATACTCTGTAAAGAGCGTCTAACATAATATTATTCCATCCTGTTTGCAATGAAAATAAGAAATAAACAACGAGCAACATGCATGTCATAATCAGTATTAATGTATATATATAGTCCCCTTTATGTTTTATTCTTCCCACTAACTAGTGCTAGCTTGAATTCCTTTTGGCTTATTAATTAGTTTATACTGCTGCAGAAATCTTAACCATCCAACTTGAATCATGAGAAACGCTTACATGTTCTTTACTTCTGGAAAGGAGGAAGATATATGAATTTCATAACATCCCACGTGAACCATGCATTCCTTTGGATGTTAAATATCCACAAAACAAAGAAAAACAAACCAACCGAAAGGGAGAGTACTAATATGTTTATAACTTTTTCAATAAAGAGCCTTAGATGAGATTTCAGAAATTGAAAACAAATAATAAGCGAGAAAACCACCTCTAGATTTTGATAGAAAATTTAATATTTATTATTGTGATATTATATTTGCAATTGAATTGAAATTAAAAGAGTGTTTCTCGGCGAAGATACGTGTCTGTCCAAGCATAAATTCAAGAAACTTTTGACTTTTCAAAGTAATCACATTCATTTCAAAGAGCATCTCAACTTTTATAGATAGTCATTTTGAACAATTGTTAAAAGAAGAAGGTTCTATCTTTCCCAAAGTTGATATGTGAGTTTTTACATTAATCAAGTTTATAGTTTAAGTGAGTTCAACACAATCTTAGTTCAATAAAATATTATGATTTGGCATGCTACTGTCAGATAGTGCGGTCATTTGTACTAGGAGACAACACAACCAATTTAGTGGGGCGTAAATTTGGCTAAATACCACGTTTTTGTCTCCACCAATCTTTAGATGTTTCTATCCTAATTTTCATATTCATTTGTATCGTGCTTCATGATTATTTTCAAATTGTGCATGATTTAATACAGCAATTAAATCCTTTAATTTCCCCATGTATTTTTTAGAGCAATCATGTAGGGACAATAATTCAGTTAGAAAAAACCCTGAAATATCGTGGAGGCCCTGATCCTAACTGTTGCTAAATTGTTGTTAAGAGGGGCGGAAATTTTTTGTGTGTAATAAGTTAGGGAGTAATGCTACACCTACCACATTTTTTGTATGTGTTATTTGAAGAAGTGAAATGTTTTTTTTTTAACAATATATTTGAAAATGAAAATATATATCTACACTAAGGGGGGTGCACGTAGCCTCACATTGTGCTATCAATAATGTAGCTCAAATTCACCTTTGGCAACAATCAAATTTAAGACCTTACACTTATAAGTGAAGAAGAATACCACTAGATCATAATACTAAGTGGCAAAGAAATGAAAAAGTTTAAATACAAAGATTGCTAGCACTTCAAAAATGTAAACTATGCACGAACCCTAGAAAAAGGTCGGGGAAAGGCATAGACTAAGTCATCCCACTATATTGAACCGTATATTGAACGGGTTGATCGAATAACTGTGTGACCATATATTCTCTACTCAAATAAAGAATGCCTATACAAGCCTTTGATTGAGGACCCAACTCAATTATGGACAAAGACTATATAAGCCTTATATCTTTACCTCCATGACCTATAGCCTGTATAGGGATAAGAGGGAGAAAAAGGGGCAAAAATAAAGCAGAATCAAAGTTGTAATAATAGTACAAGTTGCATTATATATTGTGACATGCATGCTCAATCTTTATAAACTTCAGACTTTTGGTCTCACTCAGAAACCCGCACACAGTTAGTAAACTAATCTCTCTAAATTACTAAGACCATGGCTCTAACTGTGCGTGGTTTCATCGTCATGCCAAATACCAACATCGTCCAAATTCCCAGTTGCGAGTCCTACCGACATCGACCTGTGAATACGTAAGTGACAATAAAATTTAATTTCTTTTGTAAGCACATAATTTGTTTGTTTAATTATCAATATATATTTGCAAGAAATAGAAAACATCATTTATTTGTGAATTATGTTACCAATTATATGTATGATTGTATTGGATTATATATGTGCAGGCTGCAGATCACGCATCACGACCATATGTACGCCCGCAGGAATATTAGTCACTCCATAAAGTATGGTGGTTTCATTATAATTTGCATGTATAAGATTAGTAATTACATTTTTGTATTCGACATAAGTGATTTCCAATCATCCGTTTTCTTTATTTAAACATTCATGGTTATTTCTAGTCTTTTGATGAAACAAATCAAAGGATTGCTAAGAGGCGGAAATAATCAAGAGTGTGCACAAAAATGAAACCTTGTGCGGCAGTCAATTCCCTCGTGAGAATTTTTTTTTCTTTGTTTGGTGTACGTTTATATAATTATGAAGTACTATTCGTTAAAAAATCTATTATAATATTATGTAGAAATTAACGTTTTACTATTTATTTGTTATTGATCTTAAGATGTGGAGGTAAAAGCAGGCCACCGATCAGCAAAGGGGGCGGTGGGAAAATTAATGGGACGACGAAGTTGAGGGAGCGGAATGTTTCTGATCAAATCAGCAGCTCAAAGACTGATCAGAACGATGGCAAGCAAACTAACGGAGATGCCAAAGCTACAACAAGAAAGACTGGGTCTACTGGTTGAGTACTATACATATCAGTTACTCTTTTTAGTTAAGTGATAAGCTGTGTGGAGTCTGTGATGGATTTAAGCCCTAGTTTGGGGTTGAGGTGATTTTAAAAAAAGCTCCTATGAAAAAAAGCTGGGAGTGTTTTTGGTGTTTGGTAAACTTAAAAAAAAGGGCTTATTTTGGAAGCTGCTTTGAGAATAAGCTGAAATCAAAGGAAAAAGCTGAAGCTGCAATTTGTAGCTTTGGAAAACTGGTTTTTTTTCAAAGCACATAGAACTACAGTGCTCCTTTAATGAAAAGATCCACTATCAGACTGCTTTTTTTTCCAAAAGCACTTTTACAAAAAAGTTTACCAAACACTCTGCTGATTTATTTCACAGCCGCTTATTTTCACAGCACATCCGCTTATTCTCACAGCAGCTTTTTTTCAAAGCACAGCAATACCAAACCAGCCCTAAGTCTTATGTCCCTCATAGCTTAGATGTTTGTGTGTTGTGTGTTCTGTTTGTGTTTGTGTTTGTAAGTGTAATTTGGTTAGTGTAAGTGTTTTAGCTTGCAGACACGTTTTATAAATAATGATCAAGCATGTTAAGTGTTTTATGTAGTGGTGGAACTAGAAGTATTTCATTCGTATACACAAATATGATTTTTTTTTTCAGTTTAATATTATAACAAATTATTATATATTGATTGATGATACTCAAACTAATATGAGGGCGTACGCCACAAGCTACATGATCTAGTTTACCCTTAGCAAGACCAACCGTATTCACATCCATGGATACGAAGGAAGATGCTAAAGCAATAGAAGAAACTTTACACAACTCAATCAAGATTTAAGAGAGATTTAATTTGTTTATCCAAAACATCTCGGATCTCCTCGACCGAGGAATAAGCTTCAACTGCCATAGTCTTCGCTACCTCCTTGGCAACCTTGCTATATCTGCATCATAGCAAGCAGAGCAGTCATTCTATATTGGGTCGTATGCTTCGCAAAGGAACTTGGGCAAACAAACCTTTCTAAACGCTATCAACAAACTTGGCACAAGTGTCCATGTCTTCAAGCAGATCTGGTTTTAAGAGCACACAGATTTTAGCCGCCTCCCCAGAAGCAGGCTCAGTGGATTTCTCACAGTTGCCCACGCGAGCAGTCTACTCCTTCCCAGCAGGCGAATCAGTCTCAGCAACAGAAGGAGTGGGCCTTAGCTCCACTTTAGCAGCAGAGTCCACCTTATCGCTATTCATAATAGCAAACCTTTCCAAATGAGAACCGGACTTTGCTTCCAACGAACGTCTTGGCACAGACTTCGACACTAGGGACATGACAAAACCTCTACATTGAGTAATACTGTCAGCAATTGTACAAGCCATTCTCGACATGGCAGGTGTCACATACTCAGATCTAGCGGCCTCATTTTTCTTCCTATTGGAAGAAGTCATGTTAATCACAAGATTATTGGCAGCAGGCAGACCCTCACAAGCAGCGGAGGAAGTCTTCAGTTTTCTCAACCGGCAGGCAGGAAGTAGGAGGCCTGCATGCCCAGCATTCTAGCAGCCCATGAGGCCCGCAACCTTTTCATTTTTTTCAATCGCCGGCCTGGCCCGCGTCAGGACCAAGAGCCCAAAGGACAAGAACCATGCGACTCGCCTAACACTGCACCCCAGCACCTCAATCCGCGGCCCCAATCGAGCAAGCTGCCCTTGGCATTAGCCAAGCTAAGCGGCCCAAGCAGTGGTTCCTGCCACAACACCTCATTGGCCCATGCCGAGCTGACTCCTGGCCCTTGCCAACCGACGTGCTGCACCACCCAGACGGCTGCCCCGCAACAGCACTATCCAAGAAGAAGACAAGGAAAATTAAAATTTTCTTACTTCGGTGCAGCACGGAAAAGACGAAGAAAGCAATGAAAGACAGTCCTTTACACGAGCAAGATGTAAAAAGATTGCTAGAGGAGAGGGAACAAATATCCTCTAAGCTCTCTCTCTTGTAGGGTAGAATAAATTGCTCTCCAAAGTTGATTTAATAACTCACTTAAGGTGGACTTAAATAGGCTTTGAGAGAAATTTATTTCCCTTCCCTAAAAGGATCTAATTTCCAATTAAAGAGGGAATCAACATCAAGATAGGAAACAATCTTATGTTTCCTTAAGCAAGAAGATCTCTACACCTGCTGCCCTTTCCTGCGAGCAGCCCAACAGGTGTGGGGGCATTTGTGGAGCCAAAAATAATCAAGAGGCGACACGTGGATTTTTGGGTAAAAATGACAAAATTACCCTCAAGGCATATCGGGATTCCTACGCGCGAGCAGTGGACAATCATCCCTCAATCAAGTCAAAGGTGCCCAAATAGGTAACAAATTCAAAATTATTTCATCCATCCTCACCCTATATTCTCCAAAAGGTAATTATTTCATAACCTCCAAAACATTCCTTTTAAATTATGTTAATTGGCTAATTAATGGATTTATTACCTAATTAATCCATTAATTACCAAATTAATCACCAATTGTACCCAAAAAATACACAAGAGGCCGGCCACCCTCTCTCCCAAGGGGACTTGCCATGCTCTATATATTCAACCTCATTTTCTCTAAAAACCTAAGTTCCAACACTCTTGCAAAACTCTCCAAACACTTTTCCCTCTAAATTTTAACTTTGTAATCGAAGGTTCTTCGGCCAAAGCCCCCCATTCATCGTGGAAGCATGAGGCTTTTGGCCTTAACCAAATGTGTTAATTGTTTTGTAGGTGCAATTTTGTCCAAAATCAAGGAGGAAAAAATTTGCATCCACAGTTGATACTGAGATGATTTTTGGTGGCGCGGGTGCGGAATGTGAAGAGAATTGAGAAAATTAAGTTGGAAGAAAAAAATTAAAGAAACGCAACGAGATTGGGGCCATCCCTTCACCTCACAGATAGTTTTAAGTCCTTTATTGGCACCACTTCCAGTCTTCCAGCAGAGAGAACAGTATTGAAAAGCAACTTATGTGGCATGACAATTGACAAGCAGAAAAGAAAATTGGAGCTCAGCAGAGTTGCAGTTCCATCAAGAGAACTCCAAAGCGTGTGAAATCAAAGATTGATGCTTTGCCATACGATTTAATCAGCATAACTTCCACGCTGATGTAGTTACCTGAATACCTAGTGTGGCCCTTGCATTGTGTAGCTTTTTATCCAAGCATTCAGATTGATGAAGCCCATAGGGTGATGCCTCTTTCAAATTCCACGGAATTTCAACTGATGACATGTTGCCAGTGCTATCGCGTACACTACAGCCACCGTGTTGACAGGAGAAAGGCGTTGTTTTGCAGCACACGATCAAAATGAAGAATCTCATGGTGCCAAATAGCATCGGGACCATATCCCCGGGCCAGCAAACAGAAAGTCATTCTGCAGACTCTTCTTTTCCTTCCCATGCATTTCAGCTTCACGAACTTCTCCACTCTTTTGGAGAACAGCTAAAAGCATCAGTATGTGCCCAAGAAAGCAGAAAACCCTTCCCCTTGAATTGTCTCAAAACATTTATTTCATTCATTAGCACTTCCAGCAGAGAATTACACCCAAATGCAAGTTCCAGTGCACCTGTGATCATTGATGGTTGGATATGGTAGCAGAATCCAGTTTTATTTTCGCGGTCCTTTCTGAGAAACAGATACAAAAGAGTGTAAACCAAGAAACACAAACCAACTGGAACTGCCGTCATCATCAGAAGAAGCCCAGCCCTTGAGCCTTGCATGGATCCACAGATTTTGCATCGTAACCAAACACCTTCTCTGATAAAGCTCAAGAAAAGGCTTAGTGGTCTGGTGTTTGACAAGGACAACCTCAACAAACATAGGACCATTTGCAGCAGTAGCGTTCCAGCTGAGGGTCAGGCACATCACTGAATACCTAGTCTGCACACAATTGTTGTGCAGTTGAAAAAGAAATTTTTGTACAATTTTTCTTTTGCTTTAAACTAGTACTAGTATGACTATGTTTTCTGTACAATTTTTCTTTTTTATCATCCGACTACTATCTATCTATTTAAGGAGAGATCATCCCTCCCTCAGCTGTTTAGCTGAATGCAAAGCTTCAAACGCTGTGATAGCCCTCAAAATGGACAATAAGTTTCTTGCTCCTTCTGTTTGCTCTTTCCATGTGGCAGGTAATGTGTTTTTGTACTTAAAAGCGAGGAGATCCTTTTGGTTTATGCCATTGACCATTTGGAAGAATATAAGCCCCACATCATTCATATCCTTTACATAGCTTGCTTCTCTAGTGTGTTTGGCTACAATAAAGAGGCAACTCAAATTAGATACCAACTAGACTGTATGCATTAAGGAAAAATACACAGCCAACAACAAAAATGAGAGATAGGAAAACTGAAAATTCGATTGAAAAGAGGAAAAAGATTGAACATTTCCAAAAAATTACAGCAAATCTCAGGCCAAACGACCACCATTCCCTTCCTAGCTGTCTCTCCCCTCAGCAATCTGATATTGAGCCCTCTACCGAAGTGACATGAGAGAGAGGGAAAGAAGAAGGGTGGGGGTGGAGGAGGATGTGTTTGGTTGTGTTGGATGGGGGTGAGTGTGGCTGACGTACCTGGTTCTGCTTGTTGGGTACATTCTAGGAGGAGCCACTGCTTGTTTGATCAATTTTGGATGTGACAGACCACTGAAATGAAGTTACTGGTTTTAGGATTTAACAGTTCCTTTCAACTTTCGGGTTTGAGATTGAGACAGTTTTTGGTCGGAATTTGGGATTGACATTGGGATGTAACTAGAGGAAGCAAATCAACCTTTCGGACATGTTGCTGCTTTTTGTTGCGTTGTTTATTTCCATAGGAGTGAACGTCGTCGATCAAACTTCTTCACTAGTTATTTGAACTGCAATGAATTGCTTTGGAGCTAAGAGTTCAATTTTTCATTTGAGTTTTGATTGTCACTTTTGGCATTAAAGGAATGCTACTTTTCGTTTCCCCTCGGCATTAGAATGTATTCCAATTCACACTCTAGTTTGTATTTGTTGACTTATTGGTTTTGGTAATTTGAAATTTGGGGCTGACAGCGAATTTAAGATTTTTCTTTAATTGTCTGGATGGTGAAGATTGAATGAAGGAAAAAATGAATATAAGTTGGATGAATATAAAGCCGGACGATTGAAGACTTGCCCCTAAGTTTGGTCATTCTAGAGTATAGACTTCAAATTAAATGCCAACTAAAAGAAATCAATTATTTAAATAAAACAACCACATAAATAAATAAAAATTAAAACATAAAACAAACTAAATCACTACTTACCTGTCCCAAAGTCACAAATTTTAAGCTGATCATCGTGAAGAAGTATGTTGTCAAGTTTTAAATCTCCGTGAATGACATCTTTGCTATGGAGGTATCTCAACCCCTCCAAGATCTGAATGAAGTAAGGCAATGCTTTACCCTCCAATCCTTTTTTGCCATTTTCTTTTTGGTCCTTAAGCAGTTCGTCCAGTGACCTGTGTGTCACATCATACAACAGCAGCACCGCAGCAACAACAACAAAAGTTACATACTTATGAACAATAAATAAAAATAAATAAACAAATCAAATTGCACATAAATATTGAGTATCAATTACCTGTCACATAGTTCCATTTGTATACAGATATAATGATAAGGCACTGCCGCTTTAAGATCGACCTCACCAAAAAATGTCCGGACACCTGGTGGCTCGTACCAAGTCTAATTTACAAGAATAAATTAATACAATATAAAAATTGTATTCATAAATCAAATAAATAAAAATTTATGAAAAGAGAAATGTGAAGAAGGTTAATTTGGTATATTAAAACTATTAAGGGTGTCTAGAGAAAAATAATAATAATAAACTGGGGTGTTATGAAAAACAAGGGGGTGCCTAGAAAAAAATTTACAATTTGGGTATATGATAAACAAAGGGTGTCTAGAGACGAACTAGCATTTTCGTGGTTAATAAAATTGACAAAACCGGACAAGAATTGTGCCTCTATGTTTTTGGGCCCATTTTGCTTTACTAGGTCGTTTTGGGTCCATTTTGCTTTACTAGTGGACTGCATATTTTGGATGTACAGAGAAATAAAGCAACCAAATGGTGAAATTGGGTTTAAACCAAGAAAAATGTGACTATTGACTCGTTTGAAAAAAAAATTTAAATTGAAATATCTTTTAGACGATGATTATTGGCACTCTAATTTTCTTCTTAATATAAGTTTGAAGTGCGCCGACTAGATTTTTAAAGTACCGATAACAATTCTCATGTTTTATATACAAACAACAATGGAAAAAATGGGTGTCCAAAGAAAAAAAATGTTTTTAAACAAAGAAGATAATAGGAAAAGAAGAGATTAGGATAGTGTTCATACTTACCGAGAAATAGCGAACCACATTGGAATGAACGAGATTGCACATCTCCTTTGCCTCACTGAGAAATGCAAACAAAATTACAAAAAAAAGTATATAATATATACCAGCACTTTAAATTAGATAAATGAATAAAAATAAATAAAAAATACTATGATTTTTTTTTTACCTCTGCACCTTCTCAAATGAAAGATTGTCCTGCCCGAAACGTACCCATTTCACGGCATAATCGTTGCCGTCCAAGATGTGACTACATGCCACAACAAATCCAAATGCTCCTTTTCCTATTAACTCATAAATAACACTATGTCAAACTACTTGAATATATAAATGGGACACTCTGGATGCGATCTCTAGTTATCAATATTCTTTGATTGAAACCTTGTTAGTTTTTAGTTTTTTATTGAGGTCCCTGACATTAATATAATAATGTAAGTTACTAGATTTTTTAAATTAAAAATTAAAAATTGAAATTTGTAATTGTTTATATTAATGAGATTTTAAATAAAACCCATAATTTATGGGATTAAAAATAATAAAATATAAATTATACTCTCTATTATATTGTGTGTGTATACATATATGTATGGGTACATTAACCAAAATTAACAAAAAAAGTTATTGTACCAAAACATGGATACATTCTCAAATCAACGAAAAAGAATGTACCCATATAAGTTTAAACATGGATTAAAAAATTTGAATGGATTTTTTATTAAAAAAAGGGTACATTTTACATATAACAAATTGATATATTTGAGAATGGGTACATTTAAGATTAAAAAAAATTGAAAAATTATATGAATGGGTACATTTAAGATTAAAAATTAAGAATCTTTTTATATATAAAAAAAACTAATAGGTACAAACTTAATTTAATTTAATTTTTTATTATTTTGGAAATGTTTGAATTGAAAATTAATTAGAAGTTTAATAGAGGTGTGAGTATTAAACCCTAAATTAATTACTAATTTTTATATTAAAAAATTATATAATAAACATGTAAATTCATTATCACATTAATGCTAGGGACTTGAATCAAAATTTGATAACTAATAAGGTCTTAGTTAATAAACAGTAAGAACTAGGGACCAGATACTAATTTTTCCGACACTTTGGATGCGATCCCTAGTTATCAATATTCTTTGATTGAAACCTTGTTAGTTTTTAGTTTTTGATTGAGGTCTCTGACATTAATATAATAATGTAAGTTACTAGATTTTTTAAATTAAAATTTAAAAATTGAAATTTGTAATTGTTTATATTAATAAGATTTTAAATAAAACCCATAATTTATGGGATTAAAAATAATAAAATATAAATTATACTCTCTATTATATTGTGTGTGTGTATACATATATGTATGGGTACATTAACCAAAATTAACAAAAAAAAGTTATTGTACCAAAACATGGATACATTCTCAAATCAACGAAAAAGAATGTACTCATATAAGTTTAAACATGGATTAAAAAATTTGAATGGATTTTATATTAAAAAGGGTACATTTTACATATAACAAATTGATATATTTGAGAATGGGTACATTTAAGATTAAAAATTAAGAATCTTTTTATATATTAAAAAAACTAATAGGTACAAACTTAATTTAATTTAATTTTTTATTATTTTGGAAATGTTTGAATTGAAAATTAATTAGAAGTTTAATAGAGGGGTGCGTATTAAACCCTAAATTAATTACTAATTTTTATATTAAAAATTATATAATAAACATGTAAATTCATTATCAAATTAATGCTAAGGACTTGAATCAAAATTTAATAACTAATAAGGTCTTAGTTAATAAACAGTAAGAACTAGGGACCGGATACTAATTTTTCCGACACTTTGGATGCGATCCCTAGCTGTCAATATTCTTTGATTGAAACCTTGTTAGTTTTTAGTTTTTTATTGAGGTCCCTGACATTAATGTAATAATGTAAGTTACTATATTTTTTAAATTAAAAATTAAAAATTGAAATTTGTAATTGTTTATATTAATGAGATTTTAAATAAAACCCATAATTTATGGGATTAAAAATAATAAAATATAAATTATACTCTCTATTATATTGTGTGTGTGTGTGTATACATATATGTATGGGTACATTAACCAAAATTAACAAAAAAAATTATTGTACCAAAACATCGATACATTCTCAAATTAACGAAAAAGAATGTACCCATATAAGTTTAAACATGGATTAAAAAATTTGAATGGATTTTATATTAAAAAAGGGTACATTTTACATATAACAAATTGATATATTTGAGAATGGGTACATTTAAGATTTAAAAAATTGAAAAATTATATGAATGGGTACATTTAAGATTAAAAATTAAGAATCTTTTTATATATAAAAAAAACTAATAGGTACAAACTTAATTTAATTTAATTTTTTATTATTTTGGAAATTTTTGAATTGAAAATTAATTAGAAGTTTAATAGAGGTGTGAGTATTAAACCCTAAATTAATTACTAATTTTTATATTAAAAAATTATATAATAAACATGTAAATTCATTATCACATTAATGCTAGGGACTTGAATCAAAATTTGATAACTAATAAGGTCTTAGTTAATAAACAGTAAGAACTAGGGACCGGATACTAATTTTTCGAACACTTTGGATGCGATCCCTAGCTATCAATATTCTTTGATTGAAACCTTGTTATTTTTTAGTTTTTGATTGAGGTCTCTGACATTAATGTAATAATGTAAGTTACAATATTTTGTAAATTAAAAATTAAAAATTGAAATTTGTAATTGTTTATATTAATGAGATTTTAAATAAAACCCATAATTTATGGGATTAAAAATAATAAAATATAAATTATACTCTCTATTATATTGTGTGTGTGTACATATATGTATGGGTACATTAACCAAAATTAACAAAAAAAATTATTGTACCAAAACATCGATACATTCTCAAATCAACGAAAAAGAATGTACCCATATAAGTTTAAACATGGATTAAAAAATTTGAATGGATTTTATATTAAAAAAAGGTACATTTTACATATAACAAATTGATATATTTGAGAATGGGTACATTTAAGATTAAAAAATTGAAAAATTATATGAATGGGTACATTTAAGATTAAAAATTAAGAATCTTTTTATATATAAAAAAAAACTAATAGGTACAAACTTAATTTAATTTTTTTATTATTTTGGAAATGTTTGAATTGAAAATTAATTAGAAGTTTAATAGAGATGTGAGTATTAAACCCTAAATTAATTACTAATTTTTATATTAAAAAATTATATAATAAATATGTAAATTCATTATCACATTAATTCTAGGGACTTGAATCAAAATTTGATAACTAATAAGGTCTTAGTTAATAAACAGTAGGGATCGGATACTAATGTTTCCTATATAAATAGATTAAAAATCAAATAAAATTTACAAATAGAAAGAAAAATAATACAAAAATCAAGTAATTCAACTAACCTAGCAGTTTGCGGTGTATGTATTCGCTTTCGTATTTCGATGCCTTGATAAGAAAACACAAGATTAAATTAGATTAAAGATTAAAGAAAACCTTAATAAAATCAAGACAAAAAAAAAAACAATTAAAAAAATAAAAACAATTACCTTCCCGCCAATCTTTCTGCAAACGAAAATTTCTGTTTTCTTAATCGGACAAAGGACCGATTCCGTCTCCATGGCATGCTCTAATGCATCCAAATCATCCCTCACAGTGTTCGTCATAGCAGAGCAGAGCTACAAGCTGCAGCATTTACCTGTCGGATTTCAAGAAATGGAGGAAAACCTATGAGCTACATTTCAAGAAATGGAGAAAGAGTTATAAATACTCATAACATTTGAAGGATATTACATATCAAACCTGAAATTCCGATATAGATTCGTCCTCGCACTCCTGTTCTTCGTAGGAGAGCAGAGCTCCGATTTACTGGTCTGATTTCAAGAAATGGAGGAAAAGCAATTAACTACATTTCAAGAAATTGAGAAACAGTTATAAATACTCATAACATTTGAAGGATATTATATATCAAACCTGAAATTCCGATCTAGATTCGTTCCTTGCAGTTCTGTTCGTCGAGGAGAGCGGAGCTCCGAGCTGTTTGCGTCTCCGATTTGTTTCTGGTTCGAGAAATGGAGGGAAGGTTGCTTATTTGAAGAATCAGACACGGCGTCGTTCGGGCCGTTTAGTCGAGTGTTATCTAAATACCCTAAATAACCCTATTCTCAGCCATTATTAGTAGGGGCAAAATGGTATATATATATAGAGTTGCCAACCAGGATCGAAGTTATCGGTTTTGTATTCAAGTTTTAAATCCCCTTTCAATCCCTGTAGGTCTTCATAGTCTAACCCAATTTAGTTCCTTTCCTCCAATTTTACTCCCCTCTCTACTTGTGGCGATTTGTTGCAGAATTCAACACTGACCCATTGGGCATGATATAAAGGGTATTCAGAAAGCAGCCAAATCCAGTTGGCGATTTGTTGCAGAATTCCAGACTGATTTTGGGGGCGAGACATCTGATTACTGATTTCTTAATCAGAAAGCAGCCAAATCCAGTTGGGTCCAAATATCTTATAAACCGATGTGATGATAAAATCAGGCCGGAAAAGGGTCAGTCCAAGTGAATCCATGCCCTTGGGGACCCAGTGAGCCAGCACCAAGCAAGACATGCCAATTGTTCTGCCGAGCCGGTGCCAGTGCCATCCATTGGTAAGACTAACCAGGCTCTCTTTCTCCCTAAATGTTGGGAGGTTGTGAAAGAGGCAGGATATAACAATATCATGATCTCTGTTTGTTTTTTTATATAATAGCTGTGCACATTTTCTGGTGTTATAAGTCGAGCAAACTACCTGAAATCATTTGCTCACTTATATCTGCAGGATATAACAATATCATAATCTCTGTTTGTTTTTTTATATAATAGTTGTGTACATTTTCTGATGATGATACGTATCTTCAACTCAATTACGTATGTTTGCATCATAATTATAACTACTGGACCAAATTCTGGAATGATGGCATTCTAAAACCCGGTAAAGTAGTTCTAAGTCAGCCGCGCGACGTATCTGACAATTATCTTGACCGTTGTAGTGGGTTAATTCTGTTCTTTAACCTAAGACTTGTCAATTCTGTGTGTTCAACCCCATCACTGAACCACATGTCTCCATACCTATAGCGTGTGCACATGAGCGTGAGCATTTTTGCGCTGCCTTGGCTTTTGACCCTATTGAATCCAACCACTAGAGTTATTCGAATTGATCATTCCCCACAATCCAAATCCAGTGGTTCCACAGTCCCAACGCGAACCCTCACCCCGATGGCAGACATATTTCGCAATCTGGACAGTGGGTCAACTTGACCCCATGTTCATTGATGGGTTTAAAAGTTCCAAGGTTTGCAGGCATTTTGTATACTTGCAGGGGGTGTTATATGGCCGTGCTAGTTCACAGGAAGGTTTGTGTATTGACCCCAATACCATTAAAGCTCGAGCCTTTGAATGCTCTCATGTTCTTGCAGACGATGATAGGACCAGTGCAGCAATGGGATGTCTTGGGATGTCAAAGGATCTTGTTTGTTATGTAACATGTGATGGTTCAAATACTTTTCGTTTTTGGTCTTATAATGACCAACGTGAATCTGGTGACCAATGGACTCTCAAATATAGTTTTGTTAGGAATAGTTTGGTATGGGGGGCGGATACAATGTTTATACCCAGTGCAGATATAGTGTTTAAACCCAATGCAATAAGTCTGAATGCTCATGTCATCTTCTATGACACTTCAGAATTGATCTTTAGCTGGGACTTTGAAAGCCAGAAATGTAAACTGTTCAACAAGTCAAAGGTAAAGATGGCTCAAAACCTGGTTATAACTTTCCCTTCTTTACCCAACGTCCTTGCTTGATGCCTTACTACAGTTTGGGTGAGAGGAATATTGCCGGCTTTACTCCATTGTAAGTAGATTGTCTCCTTCTCTCTTTTATATTTCTTATATGTTATATAAGTACATGCACAGTGATGTTAGTACTTTTTAAGGTTATTATCATTGTCATTAAGAAAGCATTGAACCCATATACTTGGATACTTGAACATGTTAATACTATCGGTTTGTTTTTATATGAATTAATTTGGGATGCAAACAATTTTTCCATTATTATTATAAATAAGGGAAAATCTCATTTGAATTCACCAAAAAATACTCCAAATTTAAAGGAAAAGTTGACGGACCTAAGAAGAGAGAAATTACACACATTTTAAGAGATTAGGAATAGGAGGTCTTGAAACTTATAGAAAGTTCAGCGGATAAATCGAAAACAAATGATAAATACAGGGGGAATTGCTATATTTTTCCCCCATAATTTTAATAATGGATAATGGATTAGTTGCTGCTTAGATGAGTTTGGAGACAGTGTTGTTTCCAAACAGTATGTTTTGGTTTTTTTCTAAAATTTACAAGATACCGAACACAATGCGTACCGCAAAACATGGCGTCAGTCAAATTTTTTATTTAAGCTCACAACCTATATCTTGACAGTTGACAAGATGAATCTTTTGGTAGTTAGCCTAAATTTCTAAGCTATTTGTGATGCAATTAACCTTGATTTTCTTTGTTGTTTCACATTAAGCTTAATTTGTTGGTTCATATGCTCCTCACAATATTTTCTCTCATATTTTTCCTACTGAACGGATCAGGGAACCTTTTGAAGGGAGCAGAGATTTCGAGTGCGGAAGCATTACCATGTGAGTGTGATAATCTAAAAGATAGCTTTCAAGTTGTACGCGGTCGTTCGTATTGGAATATGTTGTTCAAGAGGCGGTTTCTTTTTCCGAGTGAAATGCAGTTATGTGCTGGAATGGAGCTGCCGGATTAATGGTGATTTTCAGGCTATCCGATCACCATGAATAAGATTTCTACTTTTCAGATTAGGTGGTTTCCTTAAATAAAAATTTAGATTGGATCAAATCAAAGTAATTTCAGAATTTCCAGAACATAATTCATTATTCATATAATTTACAAGTTTTTGAAAATTTTCAACCTTTTTAAGTATATAATGACAATTTTGAATTGAAAGTGCTTGATGTTACTGGGTTTTCCAGTTCAAGGTTGAGTATCACACATCACAGGCTTCGGTATCCCTATCTAAACAGGTCAGCTTTTAGCTTAGGCACCTCTCTTCTGTTTTTTCCTGCTCAACAAAGAATTTCCACTAGTCGTAATCGATAACTTAGGGTTCTTTGTACATTTTTGTTTGATCTACATAAGTTGGATTATTCTCGGAGGCGGTTCAAAGTCATACAAACAAGTGATTTACTGCTGTCTAAAGGTCGTACCCAGTGCACAAGGCTCCCGCTTTACGCAGGGTCTGGGAGAGGTGAATGTCGGCTAGCCTTACCCCCATTTATGGAGAGGCTGCTCCCAAGTCTCGAACCCGAGACCTACCGCTCATGGGCGAAGGCACTTGCCATCGCACCAAGTGCGACCTCTTTGATTTACTGCTGTCTAAATGTGAATTTTTCATTGTGTTATGTCGCATTGCATCGATGTACGTGGATTGAATGCTTCTTTGAAAATGACCGTAAGGAAAACCATTTTGTTTTTATATCTATCTTCTGCTTTCTTTGTCGAACAAGTTCCTTCGGATAGTAACTAGGCTTCTTCCGCTCATCCGCTCATCATTTTAGAGCACTTCCACCGGAAGCAAAAGAGGCCAGCACCCAGTGGAAAAAATAGGCTGGGACTCAGCCAATCCACTCTAGACCGTGGAATAGATTGGCACCCAGCTCAAGCCAGTCTCCAGGCCAGCCTAAAATTGACCAAGGGACCGGCCCATTTGCTTTTTTGCGCCTAGCGCGTGGCCTTAACGTGCCCGTGGGCGCGAGTAGGAGACAAGAAATCAGAGGCGGGGCCTGCTGACAGACGCACTCAAATGTCACTCAAGCTAGGCGACGTGGCCCACTCTACGCAGTTGGATTTCCAACGTCTAGTTTTTCTAGACCGTTGGATTTCCAACAGTAAAAAAAAAATTTGAATTTCACTTTTAAATTTGACCGTCCGATCACAGATCAACGGTCCACATTCCCCCCCCCCCAAAAAAAAAAGGCCCAATGGTCAGAATTATGATTGTTGGCCACGTGGCAGCTCGTGGGCTGTTGGATTTGAATATTTTTCAAATCCAACGGTCTAGATTAATTAACAACATTAAAATTTATTAAAAATAATTACAAATTATGATTTTTTTTTAAATACAGAAAAATTTTAAAATTTTTAATTTTTTTTTTCTATAAATACCTAACCCTCATCTTCCATCTTACACCACATTTCAATATTTTCTACACTTTCTACATTTCAATATTTTGTACATTTTGAGAGAAAAAAATGACTTCCTGGAAGCTCACTAAAGATGTTACGTTGTGTGAATGTTGGGTTCACACTACTCATGACCCAATTACGGGTAATGAGATGGATAAGCGAGAAATGTGGAGTAAAATTATGAAAGTGTTTTGTGATGTACATGGAAAAGACGCCAGAACTAGTCAAGGTCTTCAAGGTCGTTGGAAAACTCAACGCATCATTTACTTGTTGGAAAAACGCCATCTCTCATGCTTCTGGTAATCTGCGTAGTGAGACAAGTTTAGCGGATCAGGTGACAATATTTTTATTTCTTTATATGCATTCCACCCGCATCAATATTTTAATTTATTTAATTTCTTATGTAATTTTTATGCATTCCACCCGCATTAATATTTTAATTTATTTATTTGTGTTACACCCACATTTTTTAATACTATCTTATCCCGCATTTTTATGGACACTACAAGCACAAACATTCTACAATGCAAAGAACTAGAACAAATCATTCAACAAATGGGAATGTTGGCAAATTGTCCAAGATTGCCCTAGATACAAAATTGTGGCAACCGATCCAGAAGTTGTCATGCACGGCATGGGTCTACACAGTTTGCTAGAAGCAGACACGGCTGAACAAGAAGTCGACGCATTTGAAGACACAGAAGGGATGCCTGAACAAGTGCCGGAGACCCAATCGACTCGTCAGTCCCTCAGGCCTCAAGGTAAAAAGGCATCAAAGAAAAAAGGTAGTTCTTCCAAAAATGACTACACTAAATATATGGAGGAACTTGCTTGCCAAGGTGAACGGAACATGGCGTGGGAAAAGGCTAGAGATGAGGAAAAAACTACTGTTATGGCAGCAATAATAGCAACTACTGAGGCCCGTGATGCGTCGGCTGAGAGACAAAGAGAAATAGTTAATTGAGAGAACGAGATGATTAGAGAAGCACTTCATTGAGAAGAAATGATGGCTCAAGCAGATTGTGACACTATGAACAAGTCTCTAGTAGGACTGTTTCCGAATTCAAAATATTTTTGGACAGCGGAAAAAGAAGAGGTCGTGTGAAGGAGGCGTGCAAGAGATGCCGAAACGAGTCGAGGGGGTTCTAGCTACATAAATCATAGCAACGAAGATCATAGCACCACATATCCTAACTCCACAGACTTTGTATAATTTCGTATTTATTTGTAGTACTTTATTTAATTTGTTATTTATTTTTAGAACTTTATTTAATTTCTTATTTATTGTACTTTATTTAAACACATCAAATAAGATTACATAAACTCACCAAATAAACTTTAAAAAAAAAACACCAAATAAAATTACATAACCTCACCATATAAACTTAAAAAAAAAACACACTAAATAAGATTACTTAAAAAAAAAAAAACTTTATTCTTCAACCACAAGCCTCATTTTAATTCATCCTCCTTGAAGACCAAACAAGATTATAACCCACCCATTCCACTCTACACCCCAGAAAGCCACTAAGCATGATTATACCCACCAAACACAATTATAGCCAAATTCATCTTCCCGGCAGCCAAATTCATCGCGCATAGCATGATTTCGAAAGCATCGTAGCTGTCTAGACCTCATGTTTGTGGTCGTGAAAGCGACATCATACGAGGACTAGCCAGTGAGCAAGAAACACGTCCATCGTCTCCTAAGCGAGAATCACAAGGATGAGCAAGCAAGCGAGAAGGCATAAAAGAAGGAAAAATGCATTCTAATTCCCTTACCCTCCCGGAACTCAAATACATCATCTATACAGGGAATTCAATTCATTCAATTGCAAAAGTTAGATTCCTTAATTTGTGTGGGCTTCACCTCTCTATTGATTTCTCGATATTTGGTAAACAAGAGTTTTCTGTAATCAAAATTATGTTTTTTTTAATTTCGATTACCTTTATATAAACGTGCCATACATTTATAATAGCTATTGAAAGGATGAGGGTTTGAACAATAAAATTGAGAGGAAGACTCAGTCCATTAAAACAATTCATGAGGTGCGATTATAAATTGGGTAAATTACAATTCGCACCCTTAAGTTTTGGTGCAATTGCAACCTTATACAATATCTTTAAAACAGTTCAATTTCATACAATTACTTATATTTCAATTCAACTTCATACAACCGTTAAATATTCTGTTAGATATGCTGTTAAGTAATGACGTGGCAAATAGAAAACCAACATGTTTTGATGACATGGCATATAAAAACAATTAAATATTAAAAAATTAATTTGAAAACAAAACAAAATTAAAACAAAGTGGGTCCCACCCACTTTCTTTCTTCAGGGTTTATTGTCGAAGGGCAATCTGCTTATGCCTAACATCTTCATGTAGCTTTTCCATTCCGTCGATGCGCAACCTACCCATTCTTGGAAACCCACTTCCTTTAGGCCTCACTCGTGGGTTCCTGGAAATCCACTTCCTTTGTGCCTCACTCGTGGCACTAGGCTCTCTAGGTAGTGCGTCATGGCCTCCAGTACCTTCCTTCACTGTCGCCAATGGCTTCACTCTCCAGCGAGTTCTCACCCTACCAGCAGTAGCAGGACGATGACCAACAGTGGTAGGGTGATACTGCCTTGGGCAGATCCGGGATTCAAAAATTTTGAATTTTGAATATTATAAGAAAGGCTAATAATGGAAGGTACCCGATTAAAAGAGCTAAGATCTGAAACCTAAGTTGCAAAGGTTCTAGGGTAGTGGTGGATCTAAGAAATAATAATAGGGGGTCAGTAAGAATAACGCGTGTAACGCGCAAATTTTTTATTACAAGAAATAACATGCATGCAAAGGGCAGCACCCAAGGTATCCATGGACATTCATCGAGTCTTGGTGGCTTAAAGTCGGTTAGAGGGCATGCATGAAGCCAACTCTAATCTTCAAAAGGGCAGCACCCAAGGTATCTATGGATATTCATTGAAGTTCGAAGGGTCAACACCCAAAGTATTTATGGACGTTCACCAAAGTACGGGGGGTCAGCTGGTCCCCTACCCCTCAATGATAGAGATCCCAATCGGATCTCACCCCACCAAATCCTAAGGATACGGAGATCCAGACCGTTGAAATTTGATCTAATAGCTACAAACAGGGGGTCCTTCTAAAAGTGATAATAATTGTAGTTGTTTGATCAAATTTCAACTGTCCGAACCTCCTGATCCTTAGGACTTGGTGGGGGAGGTCCGGCTGGGATCTCTGTCCACCTCTCAATGCATTCGCCATTGTTCCAGGGCAATTGGGAATTGAAAGGATTTAGTTCGACATGTTTGTGTGAAATTGAATGCTAAATTTTGCTACTTTTTTGGCTTATTATATCAATTTCATCATCACCAAACTTTCTAAATTCAAAGACAAAAATAGTCACTTTTACAACAGCTACCATTACATTACAAAAATACAATCCCAAATCAAATGTTAGAAAACCCTAATTCAGAATTTTTGGGCAAAATCCAATTTCTTCTCAGTTCACAAAACCCTTGAAAGAACAAATTTAACAACCAGAACCCCAAAATTTGAGCACAAATCAGATAAAAAAAACCCACCATTTGCAAGCTTCAAGCTTTAAAACCCAGCAACCAGATGACCATGATTTCAGGCGGAGGTCGCCGACATTGAGGAGGAGGTGGGAGTTGGAGGGATTCGTGGAGAAGGTATAGTGGCAGAGAATGAGGGCTCAGTAGAGAGGATATCATGGCAGACAGGGATTCACTGCCGCCGCCGTTGGTGCATCTTCTCCAAAGAGGTAGGGTGGTTTGAAAAATCTGGCCTTGATTTTTTTTCATTTTTAAGTTTTAAATAAAATATTATTTGTTTGGCCATGTGTCAGAAGTTGTCAACCACGTCAACAAGAATATAAAACACATTATTACCATGCCATCACTTAATGGTTAATTTAACAAATTTGCTAACGATTGTATAAAACTGAAATGAAATAATAAGTAATGTATGAGATTGAAATGTTTTAAAGATGATGTATGATGTTGTAATTATACTCAAACTTGAGGTGGTAAAATGTAATTTATCCTTATAAATTTATTTGTTAATTCCAAGGGAATGGTTTGGGACTAATGGGCCCCCACGTGGTCTCTTGGACCAATGGTGAGGACTGAATATAAGATTAGGGGATGACCCTTTCTACATTATAAGAAGAAGAATAAGTCACAGAATTTGGGTCCCCGCATAAACGGCACACATGGCTATCTGTCCCCCCACACGTGTGCCAGGTTTTATTGCCTTCACGC